TAAAATTAACAATAATATAGATCGAACATTGAATGTAGAGTTCACTTTTTAAATAAGAGCCCATGTTTATTGGTTTATGGGCTTGAAAATTGTACCTTGCATCTAGGGCTGGGCATTTTTTAACCGAATCGATTGTTTACTTGAAAACCGAATCGAAAAAATGAATTTGGTTTGGTTTCAATGGTTTTCAGTTTTATTTTTTTGGTTCTTTTTATTGTTAAACTTCTTTTAAGGGTTATAAAGAATTAAAGGTCTGTTTTTTTCACAATTTTATTTGCAACTTCTATATGATATTAATTGAGTAGATGAATATCACATGTTCAGTAAAGAGTCACACTTAAGGTTGGATAAAAAAGTGTTAGAATTGAAGTTTCCCCTTAATCATTTTTTTTCCAGTTCTTTTTATTTTTAAACTTCTTTAAGGTAGCAAGCTAATCTAGTTTCTTTTTGTTATAAAGATTTGGGTCTCACAGGGACAAAGCTTGGCTGTGGAGAAGGTGGTTGTGGGGCTTGCACTGTCATGGTTTCTCATTATGACAGAAGGCTGAAGAAATGTGTGTGAGTCTCTCTCCCTACCATCTTTACAGTTTTTTGGGTTAATGTGATGTTAAGTGCATCCTTGTGTTTGTTTGAATTTTCATGAAATAATTATTCTTCATACTTTTGCTAGACATTATGCTGTAAATGCTTGCTTGGCTCCTCTTTATTCATTAGAAGGAACGCATGTGATTACTGTAGAGGGAGTTGGGACCTGCAGACGGGGCCTGCATCCTGTACAGGTAATATATTAAATACTGCATTCTTGATCTTACTCTTAATGGTGTTACCTGCTAACTAAGTTTGATTATTCCATTTGCTAATATCTTGCTTACCTTGGGAACTTCCTACTTTGTTTATACTAGCTTATGGATGACTTTTTTTCTGAGTGAATTGTCTGTTACAAATACTTGGAGAGAATTTTTCCTGTTAATCTGGTGCCTTTGGTCTACATATTTTTTGGGGGGCATATATTTGGGTTGACATTTGTTGCTTGAATGCATCAAACACAAATTGTTTCTTCTTTTTGGGAGATTATTCCTGCAATTTAATAATAACGTTACTGAAAATGAGATTTCATTGCAAACTTCAGTGGAGGTTGAATTGATCTAGTGCATGATTATGATGCTTCATGCTTCTAATTTCAAGCTTTTATCAAAAGGCATGATAAGAAGGATTTTCATAAATCATAGAAAAGGTAAAATGTGAAATATGCAGTAAAACTTTCAGAATCCATCAAGGAAGGAGATCCAGTCGTTGGGGTAACTGGGACTAACATATATAATTTAACTAACTTTTTTCAAGCATGAATTCATGTTTTATGATAATCATTTTTCTATCCTTTGTTAGTTATAATCTACTTCCTAAATGGAAGAACATGATAGACTCTATGTATCCATTTCTCTCAACAGGAATCATTGGCAGGCGCTCATGGCTCCCAATGTGGATTTTGTACGCCTGGATTTATCATGTCATTATATGCTCTATTAAGGTCAAGTCAAATGCCTCCTACTGAAGAGCAAATTGAAGAATCTCTTGCTGGAAATTTATGTCGCTGCACTGGTTACCGAGCAATTGTTGACGCATTTCGAGTTTTTGCCAAAACTAATGATGCGTTGTATGCTGATATATCTACGCTTAGCCCTCAGGATGGTGAGTCTATTTGTCCTTCAACAGGTAAGCCCTGTTCATGTGGATCAAAAACTGTAAATAGCTTGGAAACCAACAGAGAAAGCATGGCATGCAGAACAAAGTATAAGCCTGTCTCTTACAGTGAGATAGATGGAAGCAGATACACAGAAAAAGAGCTTATTTTTCCTCCTGAGCTTGTACTAAGGAAAGTAACTCCTTTATCTTTGAATGGATTTGGAGGGCTTAAATGGTATCGTCCCTTGAGGCTTCAACATGTGCTTGAGTTGAAAGCAAAATACCCGTATGCAAAACTTTTGATAGGTAATACTGAGGTTGGAATAGAGATGAGGTTAAAGAGAATCCAATATCAAGTTTTGATCTCAGTTGCACATGTTCCTGAACTCAACGAGTTAAATGTCAAAGATGATGGCATTGAGATAGGTGCTTCAGTAAGACTGACTGAACTCCTGAATTTATTAAGACAGGTTGTAACTCAGCGTTCTGCTCATGAAACATCAGGCTGCAAAGCCTTCATTGAACAATTAAAATGGTTTGCTGGGACTCAGATAAAAAATGTTGGATCTGTTGGAGGGAATATATGTACTGCTAGTCCAATTTCGGACTTGAACCCTCTCTGGATGGCTGCAAGAGCAAAATTTAGAATCATTAATTGCAAAGGAAACATTAGGACAACTATGGCAGAAGATTTCTTTCTTGGGTATCGTAAAGTGGATTTGGCTGGTGATGAAATTTTATTATCTGTATTCCTACCATGGACCCGGCCTTTTGAATACATTAAAGAATTTAAGCAGGCTCATCGGAGGGATGATGACATTGCCCTTGTGAATGCTGGAATGCGGGTCCATCTTGAAGAAAAAGGTGAAGAGTGGATTGTTTCAGATGCGTCAATTGTTTATGGTGGGGTGGCAGCTCTCTCTCTGTGTGCAAGGAAAACCAGAGACTTTCTTATTGGAAAGAGCTGGAACTGTGATCTGCTGCAGTGTGCTTTGAACGTCATACAAATGGATGTTTCGCTCAAGGAAGATGCCCCTGGTGGGATGGTGGAGTTCCGGAAATCTTTGACCCTTAGCTTTTTCTTTAAATTTTTCCTTTGGGTTTCTCTACAAATAGATGGGAAGAATTCTATTAAAGAAAGTTTACCATTATCCCATTTGTCTGCTATAAAGTCATTCCACCGTCCATCACTTGAAGCAAGTCAGGACTATGAGATTGTGAAACATGGGACATCTGTTGGCACACCAGAGGTTCATCTCTCCGCAAAGCTTCAGGTATGTCAATTTGTGAAGAAAGTACTCCTTAATATTGGATGCAGTGGTTTGGAGGTGCCTATGGGATTAGTCAGGCCAAAAGTCTGATTACCTAATGTTATCTTTTCTGTTGTAGCAAGTAGTGATTAGAAATTTCTTCTTGTTATCTTTCTGTCTTTTCATTTCAAGTAGCTCCCTTTGTCAATTGTACATTTAATTTCCTTTTTCATTGATAACATTGATTTTTTTTTTCCCTTAAAAAAAAGAGGAAATTTCTTAATGTTATGATAATATTTCATAAGATGAATGATTCTTTGTATTTTTTCCTACCTGAACATTTTTTGGTATCTGGCGGAAGGTTTTCACATATGTATACAGTCACTCCAGTATGATAAAATAGAACAGTACCACTGCTTCATCCGTGCTATTGTTTCTAGTTAGTAGAGAAGACTAAGTTGTGTTCCTGCTGTAAAGTGGACTTTTAAACTGATGCTGGTCTCAGGTGTTTGTCATAGAGTGCATCCTTGTATATTTCTGCTCTTGTAGATGCTTAATTCTGTTGTACGAAATGTTGTGTTATATCCTGGACAAGACCTTATGCAAATTATCTAATTTGAAGCTAAAGTCTGCATCATTGTTGTGCTGTTTTCTAAACGTGGTTTGATTTTGATAACATTGGGATCTGTGCTTAACTGAATGAATAATCTTGTTTGACATTGTTTTATGGGAAACAGATATTGATTGATTGTTTCTCTGTGCTTATTCTTCTGTTTAGTTTTGAGTTTAGGTCATCTTTATGAAATTGCTCTTGGTATGATATTCTTAGGTTACAGGGGAGGCTGAGTACACGGATGACATACCAATGCCTCCAAATGGTTTGCATGCAGCTTTAATTTTGAGCAGAAAACCCCATGCTCGAATACTATCAATAGATGATTCAGCAGCCAGGTCTTCACCTGGGTTTGCTGGAACTTTTTTGGCCAAAGATGTGCCGGGTGATAATCACATTGGACCAGTTGTTGCAGATGAGGAACTGTATGCTTCAGAATTGGTCACTTGTGTGGGTCAGGTCAGAATGTTAATGGAAAAAGAATATTTCTTTCATAACCGTAAAAGAGAAAAAAGTTCAATTAAATAAATTTCCTTGACATTCTGTATTTTCTTCTAGACCTTTACTCCCTTTCCTTTCAGGTATTTGAAATTGCATCTATTTATGCAGGTTATAGGAGTGGTGGTGGCTGATACACATGAGAATGCAAAACTAGCAGCGAGGAAAGTTCATGTTGAGTATGAAGAGCTCCCAGCAGTCCTATCAATAAAGGAAGCAATTGCTGCTAACAGTTATCATCCTAACTCAGAAAAGTGTTTGAGAAAAGGAGATGTGGATCTCTGCTTTCAATCAGGCCAATGTGACAAAATAATAGAGGGGGAAGTTCGAGTTGGTGGCCAGGAGCATTTTTACTTGGAGCCACAGAGCAGCTTGGTTTGGACCATGGATGGTGGCAATGAAGTGCACATGATTTCTTCCACTCAAGTAAAGCACTTGTGAAAGCATATCACCTCAATTTCATTTGGTTACATGCCTGATTTCAGCTAAAATAATTATATTTACTCTCCACTGAAGTTTTATGTGAGTTGGTTTGTTTTATTTTTATTTTTATTATTATTATTTTTTTTCTTTTGGATAATTTGGGTATCCAGGTCTCTGGTCCAACTAATCCCATGGGTACTTGCTTGCATTCTTAGCATGGCTCAAATGACTCCTCAACCACTTGAGCCAATCCCAATGGTTTTTTTCCCTAAAGCCAGTTGATAAATTCCTCTTTGAAACTTTTACTTTTTATAAAAATATTGAGAATTTAAATCAGATGCATGTGAATCTAAGTCATGGAATTGCAGATCAAATAGATGGAGAATTAAAAAGTAATCAAGGTTTAGTGGGATTCCTGATTACATAATCTGGTTCCTTAATTCCTGCATGTCTGATGATTACAATGTGGTTAAACATCTACTCTTATTAATATTATATTTCCTTCCCTAAGATTTTAGTAGATGCTTACTCATCTTTAGGGAAAATATCAAGGCTATCTTTTGTTTCTTATTCTTTAGATGTTTCCTTTGTAATGTCCATGTCACTTTCTCTATGCAGGCCCCTCAGAAGCACCAGAAGGAGGTTGCACATGTTCTTGGTCTTCGAATGTCAAGAGTAGTTTGCAAAATCAAACGAATTGGTGGTGGATTTGGTGGGAAGGAGACTAGATCAGCTTTTCTTGCTGCTGCTGCTTCTGTCCCATCTTATTTATTGAATAGGCCAGTAAAACTCACATTAGACAGAGATGTTGACATGATGATAACTGGGCAGCGCCATAGCTTTCTTGGAAAGTACAAGGTACAAGTTACTTACTTGGATGGATACATGCACTGTAACATTTGGTATTCTTTTAATCAATATGGTTTTGTTCATATATCCTTGTTTGCTTTCCTATGCTGTCAATCTTGGAGAGAATAATATTATATTATGATCTGCGCCATCTAGGTTGGATTTACAAATGAGGGAAAGGTGCTTGCCTTGGACCTCCAACTCTACAATAATGCTGGGAATTCACTAGACCTATCTCTCGCTATCCTTGAGCGTGCTATGTTTCATTCAGATAATGTCTATGAGATACCAAATATCAAAATTCAAGGAAAGGTTTGCTTCACTAATTTTCCTAGTAACACTGCATTTCGAGGTTTTGGTGGTCCTCAAGGTATGCTTATTGCGGAAAATTGGATTCAAAGGATTGCTTTGGAAATTAAGAAGAGTCCAGAAGAAATAAGGGTAAGTCATATAGTCATCTTTGTTGGATCTGTTATAATTTATAACTTCAGTTTATAAATGGTATCCTGGCTTATATTTTAAATTAAATTTCAGGAAATTAATTTTCAAGGCGAAGGATCAGTATTGCATTATGGTCAGCAATTGCAGCACTGTACCCTCACTCAACTGTGGAATGAACTAAAATGTTCTTGTGACTTTTCAAAGGTTCGAGAAGAAGCTGATAACTTTAATCACCAAAATAGGTGGAAGAAACGTGGTGTTGCTATGGTTCCTACAAAATTTGGCATATCCTTTACCACTAAATTCATGAACCAGGTATTTACTTTACAATTACATTTGTTTCCACTACAAATCTCTGTGACAACAGTTTACTGTATTTGTTTTACTGAGATCCTCTAAGGAATAATCCCATTTTCTGCCAATGGTGCATGAAAGCTAGAAGTGGCAGTTAACGATGGATCTAATCTAAAAGAGCATGCTTAACCTATATTATTTGCTTCATAGATTTTGTATATCTTAGGCAGCCAGTTAAACTTTGACTTCTCTGCTACTTTTTCTGTCTCTTACACACAAACACTGAGGAATAATCAATCATTATAATTTTTTTTTCTTACCATTTTACTTGTGAAACATCGTTGATGTGGATTTTGTCATTGCAAGGACCAGCCCATATAATCAGTTTCACCTATTATGTTACATGTATTAGAAGATTATAATTCTGGTGCAGCAGACTATCTAAAATCTGTTATTTGTTCTTCATTCGATATAGATTTCACTGCATAAATGGTTAGTATAATAAATTCATCCCCCCACCCTCCCCTTTTCTTTTGGTGGGTTTAAAGGCTTATGAAAACAAACCAATACGATTCAATGATTGTAATTTCAATTTAAAATTTCAGCAATTCTGCTTTTTATTTCTCTTTTTCTGGCAATATAGTTCAATGGTTGTATTTAAAAAGTGGTATAGAATTTGATGTTTAAAAGGATCCATTGCCATTGTGTAGACGTGTCTGGTTGTTTTTAAATTCAAGGGCATGTTTGTCTTTTTACTAAAAGTTTATTTCTTGGCCAAATGAAAATATTTCATCTGCTTATTCATTTAGGAATTCCAACTTAGACTTCGTCCCTGTTATTTCTATTTTATCATGTTGTTAGGTTCATCATGATTCTGATTGTGCAAACATTTCTCTAATGATTGTAGGCTGGTGCTCTTGTTCATGTCTACACAGATGGAACTGTTTTGGTTACACATGGAGGTGTTGAGATGGGGCAAGGTTTACATACAAAAGTCGCTCAAGTTGCTGCTTCTGCCTTCAATATCCCTCTTAGCTCTGTCTTTATATCAGAGACAAGTACTGACAAGGTAGTTAACTGCTTGCTCGGTTAAAAGGCTCTCCAGACATGGACCCACAGGCTAAATGAACCAGTCCATGGCTTTCTGCCTTAATATTAAAGAGTTTATATTTTTCAGTTTTTAATGATTATTCTCATTCTCCTCTTCTTGAGTTGTTGTAAGGATTAGCTTTGAGTGATTCATATTATGGTCTGCCTTCATGTCTGATTGCATCTTTTGTGCTGCCGGATTAGGTTCCTAATTCTTCTCCAACAGCTGCTTCAGCAAGTTCTGATATGTATGGAGCTGCAGTTTTGGACGCATGTGAGCAGATAAAGGCACGCATGGAGCCTATTGCTTCTTGTCATAATTATAGCTCCTTTGCAGAGGTATTCTTACATCCTTTATTTCTGCATACATAAGTTACTGCACGAAACAAACTGCTATTACTGGTGAAATCTGGCACAGAGTATATTTACTTTGAGGTGGTGGTTTACCTGGGAAACTGAGAGTCCTCTTCCTTTTCTTTTTTTTTGCCTTTTATTTTCCAATAAATTATCTTTTAAAAAATCTATTTAGAATGGTAGCCTTTTTTGTCAATCACTTAGTTTTTTATTGCCACCAGGAATATGATATTGATTTTGGCAAAATCATTTTGTTTTTTAAATTATATCCAGCTGGCTAAAGCATGCCACATGCAGCGAATAGACCTTTCTGCTCAAGGATTTTACATTACACCTGAGATTGGCTTTGATTGGACAACTGGTAAAGGAATTCCGTTCAGGTATTTTACATACGGTGCTGCATTTGCTGAGGTCGAAATTGACACATTGACTGGAGATTTTCACACAAGAACAGCAAATGTTATCTTGGATCTTGGATATTCGCTGAATCCAGCACTTGATGTTGGTCAGGTGTGCCTCTGCCTCCTCTTATCCATTTTCATTTTCTTTTACATAAGTCTTTTATTACATGGATGGTTGAATTTAATTGAACTTTTCAATTTATAATATTATTTGTTGTAGTAGCTTCCCAGAAATCTTACACTGAGAGCATTTCCTGATCTTTCATTAATTTAAAGCTATTCTGGGATTTCTTATGATGGGGTATACTGTCTAAACACCAAATGAAAGTTTGCAGATTGGAAATATTTTTTAGAAATAACCTAAACATTCAGGAACTTTTTTGGGAAAGGAAAAATCAGGCTATGCATTCTACTTTATTTATGAGCTTTACATATCAAATCAATAGGAAAACATAGCGAAATAACTCTCCTATATTTTGCTGTACAATCTAACACTCTTGGCAGATTGAAGGAGCATTTATTCAAGGTCTGGGTTGGGTTGCATTGGAAGAACTGAAGTGGGGGGATGCAGCTCATAAGTGGATTCCACCTGGTTGTTTGTACACATGTGGGCCTGGAAGTTACAAAATTCCTACAATAAATGATGTCCCCTTCAAGTTCAACGTTTCACTTCTGAAGGTATTCTTTCTGTCAACTCCTGCTAAAACATTCCAAGTGCTTAATTGTCAGCCACTACGAACCATATTATGTTATTTTTCTTCTTTTATATTGCCAGTGTCATTATGATTCAGAAGATTATTATAAGTTTATACGTAGTAGTCTTTTGAGTTTAAAGAAAATCATTGGTTAACATGTAGTCCTTTATTGAAATTTTGCATGGCTAAATTCTTACCCCTTTTTTTTTTTTTTTTTTGGGTTTCTGCAACAGGGTCATCCAAATGTAAAAGCCATTCACTCATCCAAAGCAGTTGGGGAACCACCATTTTTTCTGGCTTCATCAGTGTTTTTCGCCATCAAAGATGCCATTGTAGCTGCTAGAAAAGACGCTGGGCACGAGGGATGGTTCCCCCTTGACAATCCTGCAACACCCGAACGCATCAGGATGGCTTGCTTGGATGAATTTACAGCACCATTTTTAAGCTCTGATTTCCTTCCAAAGCTTAGCGTCTGATCTCCAGACTGTAAGAATACATTTGTACCTTTATAGGAATAAAGACTTCAATAAAGTCTGATTTCATCATCAGACAATGAAACAGAAACAGAAACAGAAACAGAAACAAAAACAGAACTTGTACATATCTGATATAGTGCCAGAGCACATATCTTCATGAACATGAAGATCATGCCCATGTTATTTGAGTGATAGTGTTTCCTAAAAAATCCTTAACTAGTTCCAACTGCGTGAGTTTGGATATAGAGTGCATCACTTGTTCTGTCTGTGTCTAAAAATAAGAGAATCAGATTTTTCAAATAACCCTTCTTTTTTCTAGTGGTTAACCTTCAAAAGGATAGTTGAAAAGGTGGAGTTTTGCAAAATAAGTTATTTATTGCTTTGGACACCTCTAAGAACTTTAAAAGCTCTAAGAACTTTAAAAGCACAATCGTGTAATAAAAGTTATAAATTCTAAATTAAACGTAATATTTTAAAATAATTATCCTAAAACAAAATAAATAAAATGAAACAATATATCACAAAAATAAATTCGTAGACAACAAATTGTAGAGGTGTTTGTAGTGTGGTTTGGTTTGGATTTTATTATTTTTTAAATCAATCCAATTTAATCGATTAATAAAATTTTTAAATCAATCCAATCCATTATTATGTGATAATCAAACCAATCCAATTTAAATCGGATCAGTATGGTTTGGTCGGATTGATCGGTTTTTAATATTATTAAATATATAAAATAATATAAAAATATTTTAACACCAAATAGAAAATATAATTATAAAATACATTAACATCCAAATAAGTAAAAACATAATAATAGGCAAAAATTATAAACAAATTCTTATACTCCTTTACATTTGTAAAAATTGAAAAGCTCTGAAAATTCTCTTAAGTTACATCACTAGAGGCACCAAAAACAATAAAAAATAACTTCAAATTTCTAGTACAACGTAAATAATTCTTGAAGATTAACATTAGTTTTTTTTTTCCCTAATGCACTAATAATTTAATCCTATTTTCTAAATCCTGTTAAAAGTGAATAACATTTAACATGAATATTACTAAAATTGATTAGAAGCATTCATAATCAAAATTTAAAACTTCTAAGCCAAATATCCAAAAATAATAGAATATTAAGACTAATTTTATTATATAGTTTTAAGGTTTTTAGAATGATACTTATTTAAAATTTAGTTAGGAGAATTAGAAGATTATTTTAAGAATAAATTAGAAATTAGGGTTTTAAGACTAAAGACGCAAACCAATTCTAAGATGATAGAGTTGTATGTGAATTAGAAATTTAGAATTAAGGTTAGAGTGCATGATTAAAATGAAGAAATAACTTAGGGAATATGGAGATGTTCTATTTTTATTTTTTTAATTAAGTTAATGGAGCTATAATCTTGTAAAATAAGAAAAAGAAAATTTACAATACTACAAAAAAATATGTTATATTATTTAATTAAATTATATTCTAATTGGATTTTATTTTGTTATAAGGCAATTCGAGTAGTTTGAAGGTAAAATCACGAACCAAACCAATTATATCAGTTTTAAAATTTTAGAATTCAAACCAATCCAATTTTATATTGGTTTGGATCAGTTTTTGATTGGATTGGAATAATTTAGGTCGGATTAATTGGATTGGATCAAATATGAACACTTCTAACAAATTGTATAAAATTACAAACAATAATTTAACTATGCAGACCATAAGATTTTTTTATAAATTAAACTAATTATTTGTAGACTTCAAATAAAGATAATTAAACTATTTGATTACTAAAACTAAAAGATAATTTACGAATTGATTAAAGTCTAAAAATTTGTGAAATTAAATCTTAATTTATAAATTAAAGTTAAACAAGTTGTAAGTCTGGCAACTGTGTAAAAATGAAGAAAAGAAAGCAAAAAGCATTCAATCCATTTACATAAACAAATAATAGAGATGAATTCATAGAAGAAAGAAAAACTAACTAAATTAATGTGGCAGACCCGTTTACAAAAGCCGAATTGCTCTAAAATCCTTAAAAATTAATAAAAGTTGTAATTTTTAAAGATGAATATGAACCAAAATGGAAACCTAAACTAAAACTAAGAACAACAGCAGGTCTTGCACTCTAACATGGAAAACCACGTTGAAATTTGGAAGAACAAGTTTAAAAATTGAAAATGCATATGTGCTGGGTAGCTTGTGTGTAGGGCAAGACATGTAGAATTGATCTTTTTCCTCTCTTTTGTTTTTGTTTTTGTTTTTTCTTGCTGGACAGTTACCTCCTTTTGCCTTTGCAAAATCTTGTTGTAGAATGCCATTATCTGAGAGCAGTTTTCTCTTGTCTGGCAACTGATAGTTCATTATAAGCAAATCCCCAATAAAATCTAGATAAATTCTCCAAAATCTTTCCACGATTCTCTTAATTAAGTTAAATTTTAATTACTTAGAAGGTTTACCCTACTTAGACTCTAACCACCCAATCACAGCCCATCCAGTCTTAGGCCCAAATCCCCTGTGAGCTCAACTCAACTCATTACTAATTCTCTGCAAATGTGGCCCAATTATTCCTAAAAAAACATACACATGTCCTCTCCCTATTTAGCTTATTTTAGGTATAAATAGATAGAAAAAATTTCTGTAGCAAAAGTTGAAACTAGACTTAAAAAATAAAAATGTAGCTATATATATAAACAATGCTTTTGGCTTTTTTTATATTGAAAATATTATAATTATAATATCATGTAATATTTTAAGTTCACACATAATATATTATTATATAATTGATTCTCTTTATTTAAAAATTTACTTATGATATTATATATATTCATTCATTTAACGTTATATCATATTTATTTAATATCATATTATGATTGTAAACTTATAATTTTATATGATATGATAATTACAACATTGTCATTTTTATATTTGTTTTTAGCTGTATTTGATTTATTTAGCTGTTCGAATAGATTGTTTAAAGGATAATAGGTGAAGCAAAAGCATATGGACTGCCTTGGAGCCCGACTCATCCCCAGTGAGCATTTGCATATCACCTGTCCAGGCAACAATGAACCTTCATATTTCAACTGAATCATGTTTGCCAGCTAAACTTAGAGCCAATTGGACATCTGAAAATGGCAGTTGAACTTCTTGATTTTATCCTTTTTTTTTTCTCTAAAATAAGTCCTAACATGTCATTGTCTGAAGTGATTGTGAGCAATTGCATGCTGAAGTGACCGACTAATTCACAGCTAATCACACGGTTTGATTTTTAAATACCTCTTTGTTACTTATTATATCATTTTTGTCCACTCAATTTAACACAAAAAAATAAAGGTTCAAGTTAGACTGTTTCCAAATTTTGTCACGTTTAGAAGTCTTCTTTATTGTAGGTCCAAATAGCGCCTGCCTCTCTTGAAAGTCCTCATTCTTTTATAATAATTCATGGTGGTTAGGTGGTATCATTTGCATTGACATTCGCATATTGTGCTGAATACTTCTCCTATACCCCAATTAAAAGAAAAATCTTTATCTTTTTAAATTGAGTTAAAGGGAAGTCATCATTTAAGGCTAAAAAATTTATGAAGGTAAAATGTTTAAAATAAGTACATGTTAGTCAATAAAGTAAAAATTAACCTCCTTCACCTACTCACCATTTTAAATTATTTCCTTACACCTAAAAAAAAATATATTAATGTTGAATTTGGATAGCTTTCGACGCGTACAAAATAGAAGCTAGCAAGAGTCAATGCAGAAATTAGGCGGTGGGATCACAATAAATATTTTATCTTTGAAAAATGAAATATTGAAAGAGTATAGGCATTGAACAGTTCAGACTTGATAGAACTTGGAAGTTTCATACACCATTAAAAATATTTATGAAATGATTGAAGGTATCACTATATAATCTCCTGGCATTCTCCTTTGATGCCATCAGAAGTAGTCCTGTGATCTTTTAGGCATTCAAGAGCCTAAAAGTTGTAGGATACTGAAAACTGTTTTTCTGTGAAAAATGGCCAACATTTGGCCTCACGTGCTCTCTGCTTTGGCATTGTGTTTGTTACTGAATAATGTTGTTGCAGATGATGAGCCTTACATCTATGCTTCTCCACCTCCACCTTACCATCAATGGCCACCAGTAACACCATCAAAAGCACCACCACCACATCCGTACCATTACGAGTCTCCTCCTCCACCACCGTATTTCTACAAGTCACCACCACCACCATCTCCATCACCACCTCCTCCTTATTACTACAAGTCACCACCACCTCCATC